CATAATTATGAAAACTAAGAACTAAATCCAAAAACCGGTTTCGTCCCAGTACTCCTCAAGTTTGATACACTGGGATTATTTAATCATAAACTTAAAAACATATATATATATATATATATATATATATATATATATATATATATATATATATATATATATATACATGATGTGCACACTACGTATATATATAAACTCAACTAAAGATAGACATATTACTTACCATATGTATGATCAGGGCCTGATACCCAAGTCCATTTGTATCTGTAATTGTTATAAGTCATGGTGTAGTTACACATTCCGTTTTCGAAGGTACAGTCGACTGAATCTGAAATCATGAAGGGGGAGGTTGAAATAAAATCGGTAATAAGAGTAAAAAGTCAGTAGCGCTGCGTAATTTTCTAATGGCAAAAGGTCAATATCTGACCTGTTGAATTTCCCATAAATTAGGAAATTGTGAATCCGGTCTTGACAAAGATACAAAAATCACCAAATACTAGGCAATGTTTATCAGTTGTTCATATAGCATTTCTGAAATACTGAATATAGACTTTTCAATATGTGATATGCATATCAATAGCCTTTAAAAATATAAACAGGTGGTTTTAAGAGGGAACCTCTGATGTACACGAAAGAACAGATGTGTAAAGAATGACTAAGAAAAGGTAAATTTTCTTAAATATTTAATACTTGATGTACATATACATATAGCCATGTGTCCTTAAGGATATCTGTGTATGAATTTCTGGGACTTATAAACCTAATGTCTTCAGCATCAGATTTTACCAGTACTCATATTGCAATTTTTGCAGTTATCATTGTATTTTTTTTTTTTTTACCAGAGCACATATTCCAATTTTCGTTGTTATTATTGCTTTTCTCTGGCATTCCTTATTACTGGTTCCCATGTTGTATTTATTTTTATGCTTGGTCGGCTCAAATTTTTGTAGCCTAGTATTCCAACCACTTGAAGAAGGCCGGAGTGTACATAATACCTCATTTCAGAACTATAGACGGGTTTTTTATGTTTATTTTCGCTTTAATTATATACTAAAAATGTACATTCTGTTTATTAACTCAATTTTCTACTTAATAAGCGAAAATGATCAAAGTGCACTCCGACGTGGTGTAATGGTTAGAAAGTTTGTCTCGCCAGATCAATTATGACAGAATAATGAGTTCGATCCTCACTGGGTGCCCTCTACTTTCGGCCTTGTGTCACATCTAAGCTACACTTAGAATACAACCACTAAGAGTCTTGTGCACTTCGACGTGGTGTAATAGTTTCAAGCTTGTCTCACTAGATCAATTACGACTGATCCTCACTGGGTGCCCCACATTTTCAGCTTTGTGCCACATCAAAATCAGTTTGGCACTTCGACGTGATGTAATATTAGCAAGCCTGTCTCGCAATATCAATTACTACTGAATTTGATCCTCACTGGGTATCACTATACTTTTGGCCTTGTGCCACACCTAATCTACGCTTAGAAATTCATTATATCCGAAGAAAGAGAATAAAAAAAGTCAGAATTTTCATTAAGAGACTTGGTGGGCACTTCGACGTGGTGTAATGTTTAGCATTCTTGTCTCGTTAGACCAATTACGACAGAATAATGATTTCGATTCTCATTTGGCGCTCCATAATTTTAGCCTTGTGCCACATCTAAGCTACACTTAGAAAAAAAAACACTAAGATGTTTGTGTATTTCAACGTGGTGTGATGGTTAGCATGCTTGTCTCGCTAGATCAATTACGACTGAGTAGTGAGGTCGATTCTCACTAGCTACTCGAAAATTTCAGCCTTGTGCCACATCTAAGAGTGCTTGGTAAATCACTAAGAGATTTGGGCACATCGACGCGATATAAGGGTTAAGCACGCTAGATCATTTACGTCAGTAAGTAGCGTGTCAGATCCTCACTTGGTGCTCCACGCTTTGGGCCTTGTGTCACATCTACTAAATCGCTTGATAAGCTAAGAATACGTATAAACATTTGTAATCATGAATGAATTAAATTCAAGAACGCAAAATTCCACTGTATTTGTCAAAATTATTTTTATTTTTTGAAATAAAAGTATAATTTCCAAGGTGTATTTAAAGTTGAAAAGTAAAGTGTCGAAAGTATTGAGTTGAATAAAATCAAATTTTCTATATGTCATGTCCCTTCAGGACGTGAGAGATCATGGTTCTTCACATCTTCCTTTCCTTCGTAGACGTTAGCATTGTTTCTCTCTTTGCCAAGCCTCACGCATCCCCATCTTGGTCATCCATTCACGAAAGTTCGTAAGGTAGGTGGCTAATTGCCATCCCTTATCTCCCTTGCCATCAATATGCCTTGTGAGGATTAATTCTTCCAAGCCCTCCTTCCTTATTATGCCCTTCAGAAATTCGAGGTGTCTCTTTCTGATTCTGAGTGTGTGTTCCTTTTGTCATCATTGAATCTATGACTTTCTCGTTCCTTACTCGCTTCGGGCGATTATTCTTCTTTCAAGGGCAAAGAT